AAAGCAAGGAGCAAAACACAAGGTCTCCTTCCTCCTTAAACATTGGCCTTTTTTCCTCTAATGAGCAGGACCATTGTTCAGTGAAATCTTTAGCAAGGAAGTGAAAGAGGGATTAGTTTTACTTCTGACCTGAGGGAGAATCTGTTGACATTATTGATACCTCTGCAAGGACACATCAAGGGAGGAAAACACTGAAATGCTGATGTCAAAAGAGATTTGGGTTTGAAATAGGCTGGAGGTGGCAGTTTGTCCAGCTGGATAACTGAAGGTGTTTGGGGTGACTATGAACATTGCTGCCAAGTTCAGTTTTGAAACAAATTCCTCAAAAAGGGTGTTAAAATAAGGGAGGAGACGTCAAAGACGTCTAATATGAAGGATGACATTTAATGGAAGACCTTGGCCCCATCCTACTCCCACAGATGAGAGGATCAGGCTAAGCACTATTTTCTACCTGTCCTGCTTTTCTTCCCAAAGAAACTCAGATTTGAGTAGTAAGGAACCATAAGTGAGCTTCCCCAGGATTGGATGGGAGGGACTAGAAATATGCTCAACTCAGAATTAATTCAGAGAAGTACTAAAGTCTGTTTATTCACAGAATAAGCTGAGTTGGAAGGGACCCTCAGGGATCATCAAGTCTGAGATGTGCCTGAGAGCATTGCCCAAACACTTCTTGAACTCTGTCAGGCTGCTGCTGTGACCACTTCCCTGGGGAGCCTGTTCCAGTGCCCAGCCACTCTCTGGGTGAAACACCTTTTTCTAAAATCCAACCTAAAACTTCCCTGACACAACTTCAGGCCATTCCCTCAGGTCTTATCACTGGTCACCACAGAGAAGATACCCAAGTCTGCCTCTCTCTCCTCACCAGGATGCTGTAACTGCAATGAGGTCTCCCCTCAGTCTCTTCCAGGCTGCACAAGACAAGTGCCCTCAGCCACTCCTCATATGGCTTCTCCCCAAGGCCCTTCACTATCTTTGTTGCCCTCCTTTGTTAAGCCACCAGAGAACAGTGATGCTTTTCATTTATGAACCTCACCCTATTCCAGTGATTGTAAAGCGATCCCTGTTTGCATAGATTTTGATATATAGGCAAGAAGAGCAGGGAGGCAGCCCTTCTCCTACTCTGTCTGATGAGACAGGATGAAGAAACTCAAGGTGAGTGTCTTGCCACTGTATTTCAAACTCAAGAAAGCTGTTCCTGAAAAAAAGACCAAACAACACATGGTCCAGTGTCTTGATGCCAGGGTGCTTCAAGAACCCACAGGAACTGGGAAATACACAGGGGCAAGTTTCTGGGCCCTGTAGGGCACCTCAAGGGAAATACGGTTCTCTTGAACCCTGAGCTCAGGGCAGTTCCAGCCCATCAAAATGGTTTTGTTAGCCTGAAATCAAAAGTGGTCAGTCAGAGAGTTAAAAGTGGCTCCCTGACACTGAAACATCCAATTCTCTTCTTTAAAGACAGTTGTGAGCTACAAATCTGCAGTTTTCCAAGTCATAGCCCACACATCTCCTTACAGCTATTTTATTATCTCCTCGATCATCATTAATTTATTGGAATTAGCCCTACATGATAATTCCTCACCCTCTGAAAAATATCATTCTACCTTTTTAATAGTGCTTACATAAGGGATAAGAACATTAAAATAGATTAAACCTGAGGAGTGGTGTGGTCAGTGCTGGTGACGATTGTTTTGTATTTTCAGGATCAGAGTGCCCTCTTCTGTCCCATCCATGTCCTGCTTATTAACTCAATCGCAGATCACAGAAAAACTGTGACTTGCCTTTTACACAGCTTATCGTCTCCTAAAGCACAGCTGAGAAGCCAAGCACGAGATCACAAACTAGGAAATTACTCTTGTTAATGTGGGGGCTTGGGAAGTCATCTGCAACCAATAAAAGGGGTTGGGGGAACATCACAGGCAACATGATGGATCTAATTAGTTCATGAGGTCAAGGATATTTTGAAATTAATGTCTGCAAAGTTTAAACAGCAGGGTGTTATTTATAGACCTGCATTTAAAATTCACCTTCCTCCTGCCTCTGTAGCCACATAATTGAATCCAGACTGATGGCCAAGGAAACCTGACTGACACAAACATATTAAAAGTACCTCAACAGTACTTTTGCATATAATAATTTCTAAACTAATCTTGGTGAAAAGCACTGGGACTGAGGGCTATCTGAATTATGGACAGAGATAACAAGGGCCTCGAAAAAAAATTTTAATTGAGTATTTTTTATCACGAAGACACACAGAAGTGGGTTTCTGGAAATCATACCACCACTTTCACGTGGCAAAGCCGGAATTGCCAAGCTGTGGCGGGTCCCACACGAGCGAGCACGAGTGTGCCGCCGCCGCCGCCGCTGAGGGCCCGGGGAGGCACCGGCAGCTCCGGGGCCGCATCCCCGCGGCACCACCGGCCCGTCCCCTGCTTTGGGGCCGCGGCCTCCTGCCACACCCGAAATCGCCCTGAGGGGTGGAGGTGAAAGGGGCCGTTTTGCTTCCCTTCATCCTTAAATCACAGAGCAGTTTGGATTGGGAGGGTATTTAATGTCCCTTCTAGCCCCTGCCGTGGGGCAGAGACACCTC